GGACCGAGAGAACCGAAAGAACGGGTCATTTACAGAACATCTGGACCCACAAACACACTGGAAACTACAACAGCAGCAACATGAGAACCAGTTTATAAAACACATCCAGGTTCTTGAGCGGGCCTCAGAACCGGCTGGCTGGGTTTCTGACGCCTCAGAAGTCCTCGTGGTTCTGTTCACAGGGTCCGTTTGAGGTTCTGAACCTGCCGCCAGTCGAACGTTTGTGGAACGATGATTTGGTGACGCAGCTTCAGTGACGGTTACTAAAATAAAACGACACGTTCTCGTCCAGAACGTTTCTGAGCTGCTCTTTAACCGTCAGGACCGGCCGGGTCCACAATCTGGACCTGGTTTTGGCACGAACAGAAGGATGAGGACTGCTTCAGTCAAATACGGAGTCAGAACCAGAACCTGTTTAGACCAAGCAGCAGCTTCGGATGGACCATACTGACGGGCCGGGGGGGACTCGGACTGTCGGCACCGCTGGTCCTCCTGCAGGAGACCAAGAGGACTGAAGATGCGAAGCAGCTCGGTGGTTCTTCCTGACCCGTCCCGTCATTAGCCCGACGGACTCGGACCTGCTGCCCCTCCTTCCTCAGACACCAGAGGGTCCATCGTAGGTCCAGGAAGAAGAGGAGGAGGTCTCAGTCTGCAGGGTCTCAGGACCGGGTCTGAGGGTGGAGCAGTTCTAGAACCACAGCTGACAGTTCTGGTGGAAACAGTTCGGGGTTCTGGCGGATCCAGAAAACAAACGAGACAAAAACGATGAGCTGGTCCGAGGACTGTTTTTGTACTTTGTCCTCGTTTTTAAGGCGTCTCATGTCAGAACTCCTCGTCGGGTCTCAGGAGCTCTGGAACCCTGGTTGTGCGTTGGGGCTTTTGGAACTCTTCCAGGACTTAGGAGGTCTTGACCAGGTCGTAGACGTAGATGTGGAAGTCGTCGTCGAACTTGATGAAGTAGACGGAGGGTTTGGCCTCCACCTGATGGATCACCATCCCGGACCGCTTCCCACCGTCCTCTTTGGCGTACTCCACCTGCTTCCCCACCAGACTGTCCACCACCTCGCCGGGCTCCCGCTCCGCCGCCACGCTGTCGTCTGCAAACAGAGGAGCCATTAAACGTCACCTCCTCGGGGTGTTGCCTTCAGGGTCAGCACGTTAAGAACAGTTGTTATTTCAAACTTGAGCCCAGAAAGAAAACAAGGTGCTGCTGAGGAGCTGCGTCCGACACTCACTGGAGTCGGGCATGATGCGCAGGTCCCCCTCCTTGTAGTCGTCCAGCAGCTGGTACATGTACAGGACCGGGTCCTTCTCGTAGGTGATGAAGAACCAGGAGGTCATGATGGGGGCTCGGGCCAGGACCATCCCCCTCCACTCCTCCTTCGGCCCGTCCTCCGTTTCGAACATGTGCTCCACCGCCTTCCCGATCATCGTCTCCGCCAGCAGAGAGTCGTTGACACGGGCCGGAGCTGGACCAATCAGAAAGAGACAGAGGCAGGGGGCGTGGTCAGAGTCGCACCGTGCTGCTCGTTTCCACAAACCTGTGGAACGACTGCAGCTCGTTTGAAACCAGAGGACACGTTCACTTTCACCAACTTCCTCTTTAAATTTAAAACTTTAAAGAAAAATATGAAATCTGAGCAAAACGTTGAATTCACCTGAAAACACATTTTACCAGTAAATGAACCTGTGCTGCGTTCAAGGCCCAAAGCCCAGCAGAAACTCCATTAGTTCATATTGTACCGTCAAACACCTGTTCTGGTTCTGTCCCAGTAAAGACCGAGGTGGCGGCTCCTCACCCACTCTGTCGGGCAGCACCTCCAGCCCCACCACCCGCTCGTCCGAGTACAGCTCCAGGCCGTAAACGCAGTCGAAACCGTCATATTTGATCAGGTACAGGGACGGGTTCACAGGGACCTGGTCCAGAACCGTCCCCTTCCACTGGGACGACTTACCTGAGAAGAAACACACACGGGTCAACAACCAGAACCAGACGGAGTCGACGTGACGCAGAGACAAGAGGCGACCTTAAACACACCTCTTCCTGTTCATGTTGGCCCTAACGATCCTTCCGTTACCTTCACCTAACAACTGGATACATTTATCATGTTTGTCATCCATTGTTTTACTGGTGCAATGCATTCTGGGAGATGATGCCCAGAGGCTGCAGTGGAGACTAAAACACGAGGTTTAAAGGCTAAAAAGTTAGAACGCGACAATAAAGTTACATTTTGTTTAGTTTATGTTGTTATTCACTAAATTTGGCTGCAAACAATCAAAAGTGATGAACCTGTCATGTTTAGCAACTTAGCTCCGGAGCTAACGCTAAAACTAAAGCTGAGGCGCCCCACCCAAACCTCCGCTGTCCTCCATGGATGTGTGCAGAGACCACCAGGTGTCTTTATTATAATTATTATATAATGTGTAACTATTGTGATCCACCTGAGGACACGTTTGGGTCCTGAACAGCTGTTCTGTCCGACTCGCTCCTCCTCGGCCGGCTCATCTCTACATCCTCCTCTCGGTCGACGCGCTCCGCTCAGAGTAAAGCGCCGAACTTCTTCTGCTACTTGTCGTTTTTAGGGAGCAGTCGGCTCCAGTCATTCAGAGCCGCACCGCGTTCTCACCAAACATAACGATCTTCTAGTAAATATTTAAACTGCTCTGCGTTTAGGGTTATTTAAAACTACAAGAGATCATTTAACTGGAAAACTCTAAATCTTACTGCCTTCCTTCCAGATGTGCTGGATCCTGCAGCCGACAATGTTCCTCCTGGGCTGAACCAGAGTCTTACTGGGCCCAACACTGGTCCTCGGTTTCCTGCGGGATGGAGGGAAGAGAGAGGAGAGAGAGAAGGAGCAACGATGAGACGAGTCAAAGGAGCTGTGAAGGACAGCCAGCTGCAGAACCAGGAACACGTGGTGTTTCTGGGACGGGCTGCGGGGAACAAAAAGACAGAAGATCCAATTTAAACTTGAACCCGTCTGTTCCCAGTCGACACAACTCGAGTTCTTCCTGCTGGTTTTTACAGTCTGGACGAGGTCAGGGTTGAAATCATTCCTCTGAAAACGTTCAAGAAGGACTGAAACAGAGGAAAAACTCTGAAGGACTTCTGGAACATCTGGAGAACGCTGACAGATCACAGGACGGTCTGGATCGTCAGAACAAAGACAGAAACAGCTGCTCGGTTTTTTACAGGTAATCCCACGCGTTGGTTTCACACGGAGAGGTTCTTGTTGCACCGGGTCAGGAGCTCTGAACGTTCTGACACTCAGGTCCGGTTCTCCTCAAGTGGAAACAAGAAAGAATCCTCCACTTCTGCTCTCAGCTTCAGAACAAACGTTAAAAAACAGAAACGTGTTTTCTTACAGAACCTACTTGTGTGGGTTCTTCTTCTTCATCATGTTTGCAGAAACTCCTGAATGTCCTGAAACACAAAACACAAACTCAGCGTTCAGCAGCTGGTGATGCGTTCAAGGACAGTCTGCATGACGTGACATTAACGAGACGTCAGCAGGAGGACCAGACTGCTGTCTGGTAGAACACGACCCAGCACAAGAACCTCTGGTTGGACCGGATCAGAACAGGATCATGAACTCACCCCCGTCCGCTCGGGGCCGTGGGGCCGCTGGGCTCTTGAATGGGGTCTTCATTCATCCACCTAAAGGAGGGGTCCGTTGGTCCAGGTGTGAGGAGGAAGGGAGAGAGGGAGGGGGAGGGGAGGGAAAAGGAGGGAGGTGACGGGAGGAGGAGGAGAACCAGGATCTAGGCCAGGCCTTGGAGGCAGCTCATTCAGACCCGGTGCAGAGTAACGTCTGGAGACCAGGGGACTCTGCTGGACTCGAGAAGAAAACGATTCTGAGGAAACACGAGAGACAAAGTCGACCATGAACGCCTCGTTTCTCAACACAAACTCCTTAAATTTATTCTGTTTGGGCCTTTAAACGTCACATTTTACATTCAGGTTAAAAACATTTTGCACGTATGCACAGCTACAAATGAAGCCCGTTTCACGAGGGCATTAAATAGTTTTTGTTCAGTGAGGACCCTGAACGCAGCATCAGCAGCAGACACCTGCTGCCTTCAAAGTGACTCTGGGAGTAAAGCCGTGCCGCACGGGGCCAAGAGTCGACAAACAAACGGAGAAAAGCTCGGAGTCTGTGCATCCTACCTTCAAAACATGCGCCCGTTTACGGCCGTGCACATGGTCGGCCGACCCACGTTCACCATTTAATCTACTGCAGTACCGGTCTGAGAGAGAGAACCAACCAATGGTGTGTTCTGAGAAACCAGTTCCTGAGATCTTATGACACAAGATGTTCCGATCCACAGTAGAGCTGGACAATAATTCGATATCGATAAATCTCGCGATATATTTTTATTCAATAACGATGAGATGAGTTTTAAGCACATTTTCGATATTTCGATAGGATTACAGCGTTTCACTGACGCATTTCTTTTTCTGTTCGGGTTGATGTTTCAACCCGAACAGAAACTTCGTACGTGCGTGGTGACGTAGATGTTACGCGTGAGTCCAGGAGTCAGTGGTAGCAGGCTAGGCTAATCTACAACGCGCAGAACCTTTTCTACTCAAAAGGAGTGCCCGTCAGAATGTGACTGAAGAACATCCTGATGCATGCTCATGACTGAAGAAGCGTTCTCAAGGGAAGAGAAAGACGACGACATAACTGATAAGAGGAAAGACTGATTCGGTGTGGAACGATCCGATAAACATCTGGTTTCAGTGCGCTGCAAAATATCCCGGAGAGCCGTTCCAACTAGCGGTGGGAACACAACGAACTTGTTTCACCATCTGAAGCGTTTGCACTCTGTAGAATATTCTGAGAGTCAGAAGATGAAGCACAAGAAAAGTCTGAGCCAACGTGTCCCTGAAACACCACCCCCGGTCCCAGCTGCATCAAGAGAAGCCCATCCAGCCAACGCAGACTGCCGTTTTCACGCCACACGACAAAAACTCCAAACGTCACGAAGACACAACTAAGGCCGTTACAAATTTCTTGGCGAAAGACGCGACGCCGTTCACTTCAGTGGAAAATGTGGGTTTCAAACGAATGAGGTCAGTCGTCGACCAGATACCAGCTCCCCGCACGGAAATATTTTTCATGCACAGCCATACGTGCACTTTATGGTGAAGTTGGAGAAAGGGTGGAGGAGCAACTAAAGTCGGTGTCTACATTTTCGACGACAGCTGACCTGTGCTCAAGCAGAACCTCAGAACCATACGTGAGCCCGACGGTTCACTTCAGACTGGAAGCTCGTCAGCTTCTGCCTCCAGACGGTCCACGTTCCTGAGGATCACACGGGTGAAACCATTGCAGCCGGACTTAGAGGCGCTCGCCTCCAGGGGACTCGGAGACGAGCGCCAGGTCTGCGTCACCAGACAGTGGGACCGGCACCATCACAGCAGCTGAGCTGAACACATGCACAACACTACGACGCTTCGGACACCGACTGAACTCTGCTGCTGAGTTACAGTCAAAATACACTCGAGTGTTACGTTATTGTGTTTAGAGTGTGAAGTTTTATGAAAATCATTTGTGTAGCAAATGCAACATGCTTCACACAAAATAGGCGTAACCTACAGGAGTTTTATTTATTTAGTTTGTATTTTAAGCTGCACACTCACGACATTACACTGTAGTAAAGCGTCATTTCTTAACTAAAAAAGTTAAGTCAGGTCGTCTGGACGGTTCAAAAAACAAACTAATAAAAGTAGAAACGTCTCGTCTTCAGTCTGAGGCGATGTATTCACCTCAGACTTATCAATAAGGGAGCAGATAATTTGTTACATTTGATCATTTGTTGTATTTTTTGTGTGAACCTTTATACCCGATACTGGCTGTTTCTATTCTATTCTATTTAAATCAGATGTAATCAAATATATTTAACCAGGAGAATTGCAATTTTTCTCTAATAATAATCTGAATAAATTGTTGAGATAAATACAAATGTTTCATATTATATTGCAGTATTTTTTCTCTCTGTGTTTACAGAGGAAGTTAACCAAGACATCGAGAGGACGGAGCAGTTGGGGTCTGTAAAAAGGTGGTGGATGACTTCTCCTCCTCTTGGAAAAAGAAACCTTGCCAAAGCACAAGCTCATCATGAAACACCACCAAGATGGGGCTCCCGTCAACAAGTGGTGAAGCGGGTCCTGGAGCAGAAAAGGGCCATCACAGAGGTCCTCAAAGGACAAGAAGACCGGGTCACTGGTTCTTGATGTGGACGTTTTAGAGTCTGTAGATGCAGCTCCAAGCCCACTCCTGGAATTCACTGATGCCTTGTCCGGTGAGCCCTGCGTCAGTGTGTCATTATTAAAACCAGTGATGCAGCTCTTCAACACTTCCATCTTGAAGGAAGCGGAGGATGACACAGAGCTCACAAGAAGCATGAAGACAACAGTGATGGGTCAAAGAAAAGTACAAGGATCCAGCCATGGAGGATCTACTTGACGTGGCATGCCTCGGTGAGCCAAGACTCAAGCTTCAGTACACCCAGGAGAAGAAGAGCACATCAAGGAGAGGGCTGTGATGATGGAGATGTGGAAGGGAGAGAGAGCTGTTGCGGTTGGAGAAGACATTGGAGATGCTTCTGCAGCAGGTCCTCCAGCCAAGAAAACAAAGAAGTGTCTGTCTAGCTTTTTTCCATAGGCCCGCCACTTCCGACACAGGAGGCTTGAGTGCAAAGCAGGTAGTTGAGAGGGAGCTCAGCAACTACCTTTTGTCTCCAGGTGCCGACGACGAGTCAAATCCTCTGGACTGGTGGAAGCTCTACCAAAAGAACTTCCCCACAGTAAGCCAACTGGAAAACCATCAGGCCACAAGTTCCCCACCTGAGAGGGTTTTCAGTACAGGTGGCAACACTGTCACTTGCAAAGGGCTGAAGCCAGATAATGTAGAGCAGCTGGTATTTGTTGGCAGAAACCTCTAGAGGCTGTCATGAATCATCGCCCCTCCACAACGTGTTTGTTGTTACTCTACGCTGAAGATGTTGGACCTGTAATATCTCTGACTGGTGCTAGGTGCTGCTGATTATCCATGATGCTGATCTCACATCTGCTCACACAGACTCATGTTCGTGCTGCTGATTATCCATGATGCTGATCTCACATCTGCTCACACAGACTCATGTTCGTGCTGCTGATTATCCATGATGCTGATCTCACATCTGCTCACACAGACTCATGTTCATGCTGCTGTTGTTCGGCGTATTGTTTTGCACCATCAGTGTTTAGCATATTTCTTAGTTTATATCTTTATTACCGTTTCTTTTTACAATTTATATTTTTGCTATTGTTGGGTGTAACTGGGACCCCGACCTGAGAACTTGAACTTGACTCACTCTTTTTTCTGTTTATTGCAGCAACTCTGAGCATTTTTATTTTTTAGCCTGGCTGAATCACTTTTGTTTAAATCATTAAGAATAACATAATAAGTATGTTGTTGTTTAAAGTTATAACTATTAATAATGACAAAGTTGAGAGTTTTATGTTTGACGGTGATTTCAAATTTCTTTGAAGGCTAAACACAAATAAAAGTTGAACATTTATTTATTTGTACAGTTTTTCTGAGGATTTTAAATTGTTTATATCGATTAGTAACTGTGTCAAATAAAGAACCAGAAGCAACAAAATGTTTGAGACAGTTCAGGATCTCGTGCTTATTTGACACAGGAACAGAGTTAACGAGAAGTTGTGATGGAGGTCAGATGATTGGGGGGTGCCTGAGAGAGACTTGATGGTTTTCCAGAATCTGTTGGGGTCATTAAAGATGACTCGGGTCCAGTGAGGGAGGTCCAAAGTGTATCAGGGTTCATTTTTTACACACAAAGTGTTGGAGTTTTAAAACTATTCCTGTTTCTAACGAAGCTAAGTCAGCTCCTCTGGACGGAGTCTTCTTGTTGAAATGTTTCATCTTTTATCCAGAAGACTTCTTCAGTCTGAGGAGCTGCAACAAACTCAGTCTGAAAAACAGAATAGACCTTTTCACCTATTTTTTTATTGGGTTTGCTTCCCACAGTGTAACAAAATAATTACACACACACAGATATATATAAAAACTGTATAAAAGGTAATAATTGCAGATTTTAAACACTCCAAATGTGCAACACAAGTAAACTGATATTACACAAACGTGTCCCTTGTTGCACTTATCCAGTGTTAAGTTCAGCAGCGGCTGGTGGATGAAACTATTTTTAAATCCGTTTGTTCTGGTCTTGATGGATCTGCAGTTTCCCTGATGGTAACAGTTCAAACAGATCGTGTCCTGTAAGATGTTGTGAACTTTTCCTCTGCAGCAGGAACTGTGTAGATCTTCCAGTGAGAGAAGAGAGCAGCTCTCCTTCAGTACATACAAAAGACCACTTATATAGTTCATGAACCAGTTTGCTGCTGACATCCAGAACCAGCTGCTCACATGGTCAAGAAGGACCATCAGCACCTGAAGGCTGAGTGATACTAGCAATCACAGCATTGTAAGAGGGGGACAGTTGAACCTGGAGGCTCCGCCCCTGTTTAATGATGGACGGTTTCTTTTCACAAAGATGGCCTCCTTTACTCCTCTCTCAAACCATCGTTCCTCTCTGTCCAGGATGTGAACATCTTCATCCCTGAAAGAGTGACCTCTGGCCTGGAGATGAGTGTAGACCTCAGAGTCCTGGTCTGATGATGGTGATCTTCTGTGCTGGTCCATCCTTTTGGCCAGTGGCTGTTTTGTTTCCCCGATGTAAGACTGATCACCCTCCTGACACTGAACAGCATACACAATATTACTCTGTTTGTGCCGGGGGACTGGATCTTTGGGATGAACCAGTCTTTAATGTATTTTGGGGTTTAAAAGTCACTTTTGTTGCAGCTCCTCAGACTGAAGAAGTCTTCTGGATAAAAGACGAAACGTTTCAACAAAGAATCCGTCCAGAGGAGCTGACTTTACCTTGTTAGGTTGTTCTACGTGGATGGTGGAGGTCCAGCAGGACAATAAGTTCATCAGCCTTTCAGAGTCACTGAAGTAAAACCGGTTTTTCTCTAGTTCATCATGTGGCGTTTCAACACAGGCAGGTGATGTCACCGGCTGCAGGTGAGGTGTGTGTGGACTGGGGAGGTGCTTCAACGCCTCACTCTGGTTTAGAGAAACACCATTAGAGCTCCTAAAATACTGGTTCTGTGCGGCTGCAGGGCTGGAACCATAAAAACATTTGACTTATAATAACAAGATCCAGACAGGAGGCGGGTCGGGACCAGCACGAACCTCGCCTGTTTTATTTTCCTGCTGCGGGACAACAGCGCCCCCTGGCGGCGGCGGCGCCCGGAGCTGCAGCGCGGCTTGTTGTGGCTGCTGATGATAAAGATGTGCGCGCAGAGGTTCTCCAGGAGAACCGCCGCCACGAAAACACCACGAGCCCGCGAGGAACGTTCACGAGCAGCGCGCGGCTGACCGCGCTCCTCCCGCAACACGGCGGCCATGTTGCGCCACTATTTACAAAACCCGCAGAGGCGCAAGAAAAGGCGCAGACGAACAAAGAAAGGGGAGGTCTGCTGCTGGGGGAGGGGGGGAACACGCTGCCCAGCTCGGCGCTCCGCGGGGACCGTGAGCCCGGACGGACGGCTCGGTACCGGGCTCGGTGCGCGGAGCGACAGGCCGCAGTCACTTACCGACACGGCAGTCAACGGCGCTGCATTATCCCGATCAGCCGCCGAAGCTCCAAATTGATCCGCTCTGCCTCCGTTTGGCTCCGCTGCGTCAAGCTGGCTGCGCCAAGATGGCGGAAGGGCGGGAAAGTGTCCGTGCCCTTCAAAATAAAAGTCTGTCCCACTGCATTGTCATAAAATGACAAGTCAGAGTGAAAGTTAAAGACCATTTTATTTTTTTATTAGTAGTCAAAATGTGGTAGCTTTGGTATTTCGTAGATTTAACCATCAATCAGCAACAATTATGTTTTGACACATTAATCTTTCTAGTTTACTAAATCTGCACATGAAGTGCAATCTGATTACTTGTACAGACATTAATTTCAGTTTATATGGCGCCAAGTCACAACAGAAGTCGGCTCAGGGCGCTGCACAAAACATTCATACACATAAAAAGTAGGTTAATAACATTAATTATCTGAGGAGCAGACTGAGTCTCAACTCTCATCTTGAGCAAGCACGAAGGCGACAGTGGAAAGAAAAACTCCCTCATGAGGAAGAAACCTTTAGCAGAACCAGGATCAGGACAAGAGGACCATCTGCTTCGACCGGCTGGGTTTGGTAAGAACAGATACACAATGGCAGGTCAACGTGTTAAGATAGAAATAGTATCAAATGAAAACTATTCAATTTTAGCAAATCATTTATGGAAATGATTTGTCCTCCAGTAGTCTAAGTCTATAGCAGCATAACAAGCCGACCCTAACTATAGGATTTATCAAAAAGGAAAGTCTTAATCCCAGTCTTAAACTGGACAATGTGTCAGCCTCATGGACAGAAACTGGAAGTTGGTTCCACAAAAGAGGAGCATGAGAACTGAAAGATCTTCCTCTCATTCTGCTTTTGGAAACTCTAGGAACCAGAAGTAAACCTGCAGTCTGAGAGTTGGGCCCAGCGCCAGAGGGTGGGCCGGCCCATTCTGGTATCCCCCCACCCAAGACAAATTATAACACCGTGTAAATCTTCTTTCAGCCTTTCCCTCTTCAGGGGTCTCCACAGCGAATCCTCCTCCTCCATCTCACTCTGTCCTCTGTGTCCTCTGTCCTCACTCCATCTACCTCCATGTCCTCTCTAACTGCATCCATATGTCTCTTTTGTATTTTTCCTGCAGCTGCGTTTCTAACATCCTTCTACCAATATATCCACTGTCCCTCCTCTGGACATGTCCAAACCACTGTCCCTCCTCTGG